CTTGAGCATTCCTTTTGTTAAGCCTAGCCTAATAATAAACTGGAATAACATGGATTTTTAGGTGAGAATATATGAACCTTGTATTGTGCATAGTGAATATTGTGTTATACATTATTTGCCTACTTATGCAATTTGTTAAGGAAGCCTAACCTACTGATATAAGCTAAAGGTTGCTGAACCATTAAGTTGGTTTGGGTGAGAATATATAAACTTTGTGTTGTGCATAATGGATATTATGTTGTACCATATTTGCCTAACTTGAGCATTTCATTTGTTAAGCTTAGCTTAATGATAAACTAAAATAACATGGACTTTTAAGTGAGAATATATGAATCTTGTGTTGTCCATAGTAGATATTGTGTTATACATTATTTACCTACTTGTGCAATTTATTAAGGAAACCTAATCTACTGATAGAAGTTAAAGGTTGTTGAACCATTAAGTTGGTTGTGAAAGTTTTAGAATGGATTAGTTGTTATACAATATATATGGTTGACTTGTTGATATTGAATTTTGATATGTGAATTAAATACAATATGACTCCTAGTGTGAAGAAAATCTGTCGTTAAAGATGTTGGAGTATATGTTGTCTAAAAATAAACTTTAAGTTGTTTTATGTTGAATTTGTATTGTGTAAAATAAAAGTTGGGCTTTTGTGTGAACATTTAACTAGATTAATTTATTCATTGCAGGTTAATATAAGATATTGAAAGTAGTTTTAGATCTCAATTCCAAGATAAGAAAATTTATCATGTTCAAAATGTAGGAAGGCTGGATATAGTCGCAAGACATGCAAGAATCCTAATCCAGCATGAGAAGTAGTCACATTATACTTCTTTAGTATACAAAGGCAGCTATAATTATGTATATGAAAACATTCTCAATTAATATTTTTTGGGCAATTGGGAATGATAGGTATTTTTTGTTTATATATAGAGAAGCAACTGTTGGATGTTTCGGATATAATGGGTAACTTTTTGTATATATCAAATTTAAAATATGATGTTAAATTTCATATGAGTACTTGTTTTAGTACCTAGGCTAGTACCAACATGAAATTCTTATATGATGTAATTATCCTTATCAATATTAGAAGTGCATGGACTTTCTATTGTGCATGCGTGGATATCGGCTTGTGCATAATGGATATTTTGTCATGCATGGTCTGCCTAACTTATCATTTTCTCTAGGCCAAGCTAGTAAAATATTGAAAATGCATGGATTTTCTATTGTGCATATGTGGACATCGTCTTGTGCATAGTAAATGTTCTGTTGTGCATGGTCTACCTAACTTGTCATTTTCTCCAGGCTAGGCTAGTGAAATATTGGAAATGCATGGACTTTTCTTTGTGCATGCATAGATATCATCTTGTGCATAGTGGGTGTTCTGTCATATATGGTCTGTGTAGCCATTTTAGTTAAAACCCAAGGCTACTGAATTACTCAAAATTCATGGACTTTTCGTGCATAGTGGATGTTGTCTTATACATAATAGAAAGGCTGAGACTTGTAGATTTTATTTCCTTTTCATGCAAATATATACATAATTTCAATTACAAAAAAAAATATTTTCAAATTACAAAAAAAATCTTAAAATATGTATATAATCAAAGCAGGAAAACCTAATTCCACAATTTTATAATTGTTCTTCTCATTTGCCTATTCCTATAAGTGTAAGTGGAGGTTCACGGATGATATTGTTAGGATGCTCTACCAGCCAGCATAATATGTCACACCTCATGGCTAATGATTCTTGTGTTGTGTATCTAGGCATGATAAACAGAGGATGGTCAACATTGACAGTATTGTTCCAAAATTTGAGCCACATAATAAGATGAATTCCACAATCATCACTGCATAACAAAGGCAAGAGAGTGAGGTATGAATGAATATTTTGTTCAGCAACCTTTAGCTTCTATTAGTAAGTTAGGCTTCTTTAACAAATAGCACAAGTAGGAAAACAATGTATAACACAATATTCACTATGGACAACATAAAGTTCATATACTCTCTCCTGAAAGTCCATGTTATTTCAATTTATCATTAGGCTAGGCTTAACAAATGGAATGCTCAAGTTAGGTAAATATGGCACAACATAATATCTACTATGCACAACACAAAGTTCATATATTCTCACCTAAACTAACTTAATAGTTCAACAACTTTTAGCTTATATTAGTAGGTTAGGCGTCATCAACAAATTGCATAAGTAGGCAAATAATGTAAAACACAATATTCACTATGCATAATATAAGGTTCATATATTCTCACATGAAAGTTCACATTATTTCAATTTATCATTGGACTGGGCTTAACAAAAGAAATGCTTAAAGTAGGCAAACATGACACAACATAATATTCACTATGCACAACACGAAGTTCATATATTCTCACATGAACATCACGTGATTTCAATTTATCATTAGGCTAGGCTTAACATAATGCATATCTCAACGTCCAACAAAAAAAACTCAAAGTTCATTTTTGTACAACAAATATTCCAACATTTTTTACGAAAGATTTTCTTTATATTAGATCATATTTTATTCAATTCGCATGTAAAACTTCAATATAAACAAGTCAACCATTATTATTGTGCAACAACTAATCCACTCTAAAACTTTCATGGCCAAAATGGTTCAGCAACCTTTACCTCATATCAGCAGTAGAATCATAAATAAAATTCTAATTTCAACAATATCACATTTAACTTTGTACAACAAAAAGTCCGTCTCATATGAACCCTACTATCTCATGTAAAACCCTCATTAAATGCTTCCATTAAATGAACTACTACATACCAAATGAGTGAAAATCATCTCCGTCGCCACTTCACTAGCAACTCACATGCAGCAATGACAAGCCTTAAATTATTTCTACCCTTAAATGATTTATGCAGCAACAATGGATGCCTCTCATTTATATGGTAAGACTAGTAAAAATCTTAGCTCATTTCTACAGCAAGAACGTGAGAAACCTAAAAACTTTCAGCTGAGATCTTGAAATTATCAAAACACCATTAAGATGGAGAGATTTTGAAATCTACGCACCTCAAAAGTTATTCCTCCCCATTAGAGATCAAAAACCTTTCCATTCTCTAGCTGAATACCCATTCTCGAGCATTTGTCATTCTTTCTCTACGTTCAATTTGATTTTTGTCCATTAAGGGTAAAAATAGCATTTTTGCTCTGAAGAAATATTGCACTTAGGGCCTCAAGGCCTATAGATCAATTTCAAATTCATTTAGGCCCTAAATGAAATAAACTCTGTTTTTAAAACCCTTAATGCCATTCTTCCTAAATGAAATAAACTCTGTTTTTAAAACTCTTAATGTCATTCTTTCATTTTTTATGACCACAATGATTTGTAAGTTTGCATGACCATCAAAATTTTTAAGAAATGTTGTGCTTTCAAAAAGTTTAGTCAAACTTTAGAATAGTTGACTTTTAATGAAACCTGTGTCACTAAAGCCCAAAGTTTCCACGACATTATTATTATTACTTATTAGAAGGAAAATTTTGACCCGGAACCAATCTTTTTTTGTCATTGGGAAAGAATTTTCCAACCAAATGAATGCCAACGTTTGGAGTTACCATGTCCACATATTTCCCCATGCTCGTAAATATCTAAATCTCTTCCGAAGTCTTGCAAATTTATTTTTAAATCCCTTTTCATATTTCTTAATATAAAACATTTTGTCCACAACATTAATATTTTTTTCTTAAATATCGTTTAAAAATATGAGAATAAAACATATTTTGAAATTTGTCCATAATATTTTCTTAAAACATATATAGTAATTAAGAATAATGGATAATAAAAACCTCACAATAAAAAAAAAGGTTAAAATACAACTTGAACCCTAAACTATAGATTTAAAGGTAATTTAAATTTTAAACTTTTAAAAAGTATATTTTAAATTCTAAATAATTAAAGTTGGGATAATTTTATCCCTACTAGTAAATTTGAACAAACATCTGTCAATTTCTTAAAAATTGGATTCTAATGTGTAATTTTTACTAAATTTTCTTGTCCCTCTATCCCCTCTCCTCATTTGAGAAAAATCATACATTAGGCCCATTTGTTAAAATAATGATGGACTTTTGTTCAAATTTAATGATAGGAGTAAAATTATTTTAACTTTAATTGTTTAGAATTTAGAATGTATCATTTAAAAGTTTAAGATTTAAATTACCAATGAACTTATACTTCATGTTCAAATTGCATATTAACACTAAAAAATCATAAATGTAAAATGTATAATAAAATGACTAGTGAATATGGGATCTTTGATTAAAAAAAAATATGTGTGGAATGTGCAACAAAATTTCAACTTATTAAAAAAAAGGTAGGGATAGGTGCAATCTAATAATTTTTTTATTTTTTAAAATTTTAATTTATACTCTCTATTTTTTATTATGAGATACATTTAACTATCTTTCGAGAATCAAGAAAATATGATTAAATTATTAACTTTCACGTGGAGTAAACATCCAATTTTACTCTTATTTAAATGAAAAAAATTTTAAATTTACATCACATCCTTTCTCATAATTAATAACTTTAAATAAAAGTAATATTGAAAAAATGTAATTAATACTCTATCAAGTGTCTTGTATTGTATTAAGGAATAAAAGATATTTTTAGAAAATATCTTATAATAATAACTGGATGGGTATATAATAATAGTTTTTTTAAAAATAATGTAATGCTTATATTTTTAACAGTAAAATGTAATAAATTAAATGTAAAACTCTATTAATTATAAACACTCAATTACACTTATAAATATTAAAAAATTACACTCATAAAATATACATATTTCTCCATAAATTTACAAGATCTCTGGCCATAAATTTTAGATTATGCATTGATAATTTGATATATTACTTTTCAAAAGCATAAAATAAAAATTTATTCCCATTAAAAAAAGGTCTAGCTCTGCCTTTGTAGTCCAAGTTTTTCTCACGGAGGGCGGCTGGTCTTTAGGAGATGGCGCCATGTCGGGTCTGAATCCTCGAGTCAATGAAGCAGCGGGATAGTTACGTTACAAAATAAACAAATATCCTCTCGTGAATCCATTAATCTCCACTCTTTGAATCATGATCTAAAGCTGAAAGCTACTATCCAAACACTTTCACGTTACTTCTCCATTTCTTTTATTTCCATTTTCCAAGACACTCTCACTTTGAAGCTACCTATGCATGACTCTTAAATGATCCACCATAATCTTCATCAGATGAAGCTTCTTGATTCCTCAAGGTTGGAAATGCCCCCAGGAGTCAGCGTTTTCCTCCAACCCATTTTCACTCACGGGTTCTCTTGTTCACTGCACCTGGTCTTGCTGCTCGTGTTACTGGTAACATGGGCATGTCAGAAAGCCAAGGGAGGCCGTAGGGAAAGTGAAGAAAAAGGAGTTTATAATGCTGGGGTTTTGTACTCCAAACTGGCTCTTATCTGTTGTTTAGTTGTTTGTGCTTTTAACATTGTGTTGTGCTTACTGAACTACTTTTTCTGGTTCAAGAACGGTAGCTCGGAAGAAATTGTTATTATCTTGGATTTTGTGATGAAAACTGCTGCCTGGGGTGCTCTCTGTGTTTATTTGCGTTATAGATTCTCCAGTTCAGGGGAGCAAGACTTTCCCAGATTCTTAAGAATTTGGAGCTGGGCCTGCTCCTTTGTTTTCTGTTCTTGCGTTGTAATAGACTTTGTGCTCTATAGAGAACATGTTTTCCTCCCAATAATATACCTTGTTTCTGACATCGGTTCCACTCTCTCGGGTCTGTTTCTCTGTTATGTGGAATTTTCAGCAAACAGAGAGGCAAAACTTGCCCTTCTTGAAGAACCCCTTTTGACTGGTGATTCTAGGGAAAGTAACAGTTATGAGTCCTATAAGAACACCTCCTATTCAAAAGCTGGATTTTTAAGTATTGTTACTTTTTCATGGATGAGTCCTCTAATTGCTGTTGGAAATAAGAAGACTTTAGGCCTTGAGGACCTCCCTTTGCTCTCTAGCCATGATAGTGTATATGGGACGTTCCCAACTTTTAGAAACAACCTTGAATCAGAGTGTAGCGATGATCTTAGAAGAGTGACCACACTCAAGCTGGCGAAGGCTTTATTCTTCTCAACATGGAAAGGAATTCTTTTATCAGCTTTATTTGCATTCTTATTCACAAGTGCCTCTTATGTTGGTCCCTTTCTGATTGACATCTTTGTTGAATACCTTGATGGGCAAGAAAGGTTTAAAAATGAGGGTTATGTTTTGGCAATGGCATTTTTAGGCGGAAAGCTTGTGGAGTGCCTTTCACAGAGGCACTGGATGTTTAGGTTCCAGCAAGTTGGGGTTAGGTTTCAATCAATGTTGGTGGCAATGATCTACACTAAAGGATTGACCCTTTCATGTCAGTCAAAGGAAGGTCGAACTAGTGGGGAGATTATCAACTTAATGACTGTTGATGCTGCTAGGGTGGGTGAGTTTTGCTGGTACATGCATGATCCATGGATGGCTGTTCTGCAAGTAACTTTAGCTTTGGTTATTCTATATAGAAGTGTTGGGATTGCTTCAATAGCTGCTTTTGCTTCTACTGTTTTGATGATGTTGGCAAACTTGCCATTGGGGTCACTGCAAGAGAAGTTTCAGAGGAAGTTAATGGAGTCAAAAGACACAAGAATGAAGGTCACCTCTGAGATTTTAAAGAACATGAGGATTCTAAAGCTGCAAGCATGGGAGATGAAGTTTCTGTCAAGAGTTATTGAGATTAGGAACACTGAGACAGGATGGCTAAAGAAATTTTTATTCAGCACAGGAATGACAAGATTCCTCTTCTCTTCTGCCCCAACTTTCATTGCTATGGTTACTTTTGGTACTTGTATTCTCATAGGAATCCCACTTGACTCAGGGAAGATCTTAGCTGCACTGGCCACATTCAGAATTCTGCAGCAGCCCATATACAACCTTCCTGACACAATCTCAATGATAGCACAAACTAAGGTTTCCCTCGATAGGATTGCATCGTTCCTTTGTCTTGAAGATCTGCATTCTGATGTTGTAGAGAGGCTTCCTAGGGGTAGTACTGATACAGCAATTGAGATAGTGGGTGGGAATTTCTCTTGGGATTTATCTTCACCTGTTCCTACCTTGCAAAATATAAACATGAACATAGTCCATGGCTTCAAGGTTGCAGTTTGTGGTACTGTTGGTTCTGGAAAGTCAAGTTTACTCTCTTGTATACTAGGAGAAGTATCAAAGCTCTCTGGGACATTGAAGGTGTGTGGGACAAAGGCTTATGTTGCTCAGTCCCCATGGATACAAGGTGGCAAGATAGAAGAGAACATACTATTTGGGAAAGAGATGGATAGAGAAAAATATGAGAAGGTTTTAGAAGCTTGTTCCTTGAAAAGAGACCTGGAAATTCTTCCCTTCGGTGATCAAACTGTTATTGGAGAGAGAGGTATCAATCTGAGTGGTGGGCAGAAGCAAAGAGTACAAATAGCTCGCGCTCTATACCAAGACGCTGATGTATATCTGCTTGATGATCCTTTTAGTGCTGTAGATGCCCATACAGGATCCCACATCTTTAAGGTTTTTTTTTTTTTTTTCCTTCTATTCTATTTTATTCATTGCAGTAAATTTTATACTGACCTAAATTTTCTAAACATTGATAAAGTAATTTGAAACTCCTTACTAATTATAATTTATGTTTGTCTTCCTAAGCATGTTATGTTGCAAAGAGTGTTTTTCAATGTGTTTTTGTGATATGTCTGGTGAATTTAACTGAGATCATGTGTATGGACGGTTCTTTATTGATTGATAAAAATTATTTGAGTCCTCTATAGGTGGTTCTCTCTTCATATGAGTAATCCCTTCGAAATTTAATGCTTTGATTTTTCTAAAATGTCAGCGGTTTGTAAATCAATTGGATGCACAGGTTTTTGGCTGATGTCACATTATTTCTATACTGTTTCAGGAATGTTTGCTTGGCCTTTTGAGTTCAAAAACAGTGTTATATGTGACTCATCAAGTAGAGTTCTTACCTGATGCTGATCTAATATTGGTGAGACACTTTCTTATCTTAGTTAATTCAACAAAGAATTTTACTACTGTTTATCTTTGTAATTCCTATTTTCTTACATTTCGTTTAGGTCATGAGAGATGGAAAGATAACTCAATCAGGGAAGTACAATGACATACTCAACTCAGGCACTGATTTTATGGAGCTTGTAGGTGCACATAGAGAAGCCTTGTCTGCAATTAAGTCATTAGAGAGAAAACCCACCTCTAAAGAAATTAATTCCACTGTGAATGAGACAGACACCTTAAGTAAATTTGGACTTGAGGAAAATGTTGAAAACAAAGATGTTCAAAAGGAAGATGATAAAGGTGGGTCAAAAGGCCAGCTTGTTCAAGAAGAAGAAAGAGAAAAGGGCAGAGTTGGGTTTGAAGTTTATTGGAAATTCATCACAACAGCATATGGAGGGGCTCTTGTACCCTTCATATTACTATTGCAAGTGCTTTTTCAGGTTTTTCAAATTGGAAGCAATTATTGGATGGCATGGGCAGCTCCTGTATCAGCAACTATGGAGCCTCCTGTTGGGAGCTTTACACTTTTGCTTGTCTATGTTGCTTTAGCCATTGGAAGTTCTTTTTGCAACCTTGCTAGAACAATGCTTCTTCTCATAGCTGGATATAAGACAGCCACTATACTCTTCAATAAATTGCATATGTGCTTCTTCCGAGCCCCTATGTCATTTTTTGATTCTACACCAAGTGGACGAATCCTAAACAGAGTATGTCAGAATGAACAAAACAACACAGACACACACATGGATATGTGTGCGCGTGTGTGGTGTGTGTCTGTGAATTTTTACATGTTTATTTCGATTAGACAACTTATATAGGAGATATTTTTTATTTTCATTTTTTATTTTCAATCTGAAAAAGATAAATACACATTGATCTTTTTCTTCAAATGATCATTTTCATTGATGTTCCTTGTCTAAATTGTTGGTTGCTTGTAGGCTTCCACGGACCAAAGTACTGTAGATATGAGCATTCCACTTTTAGTTGGAGCAGTTGCCTTTTCTCTTATTCAACTTTTGGGAAATATTGCTGTGATATCTCAAATTGCGTGGCAAGTTTTTTTAGTATTTATTCCTGTGGTTGCAGCTTGCATATGGTACCAGGTACTTCCTTTTTACTGTGCAAGACACTTGTTTAATGTTTACTCTTTAATCAAAATTATAATGTGCATTTTCCTTGTGTCACTTCATTCTCTGAATCTCTAAAAAGAAAGATCAGAAAATCTGGAATTTACTTATTGCTATGTTATGCGCCTGACTGTTATAGTTGCACTGCTATACAAAAATGACTAGATATATGTAAGTTCTAACAAATTTCCTATAAATTGGTATTGTGCAGCGATATTACTCAGAATCAGCACGAGAATTGTCCCGTTTAGTTGGTATATGTGAAGCTCCAATCATACAACATTTTTCTGAAACCATTTCTGGATTAATGACCATCAGATGTTTTGACCAAGAAGCAAGATTTCAGGAGACAAACATGAAACTGATAGACAGATATTCCAAGCCCAAGTTATACAATACCACTGCAATGGAATGGCTGTGCTTCCGATTGGATATGTTATCTTCTATAACATTTGCCTTCAGTTTGGTTTTCTTGATATCTTTTCCAAATGCAATTGGTGTTCCTGGTGAGTATTTCATTAACATCCATTCCACAGTCATATATACTTCAAAAGTTTCACTCCTTAATGAAACTTTAGGCGCAAAGCTTCATCATCACTTCTTGCTACAAAATCTTTCTTTTCCTTGTTTAAAGGCATTGCTGGCTTGGCTGTGACATATGGGTTTAATCTAAACATGGTGCAAGCTGGATTGATTTGGATGCTTTGCAATATGGAGAACAAAATTATATCAGTGGAAAGAATATTTCAGTATACTAACATCCCAAGTGAGCCCCCTCTTGTGATAGAAGAAAACAGACCAGATCGTTCATGGCCGTCATCTGGGGAGGTTCATATCCAGGATTTGCAGGTCTGAAATTCTTATGTCCTCGATAGTCGATAGTTTTTATGTGAATCTATCAGTAATGAGGACGTTTATGATGCAGGTTCGATATGCGCCTCACTTGCCTCTTGTGTTGCGAGGTCTTACTTGCACTTTCAATGCTGGAGGAAAAACGGGCATTGTAGGGAGAACTGGAAGTGGAAAATCAACTCTAGTACAGACACTATTCAGACTTATTGAACCTACATATGGTCGGATACTAATAGATGGCATTGGTATCGCTTCAATTGGGCTTCATGATTTACGATCTAGACTAAGCATTATTCCTCAAGATCCAACTATGTTTCAAGGCACTGTAAGAAGTAATCTAGACCCACTTGAAGAGTACACTGATGAACAGATTTGGGAGGTAATTATTTCTATTTGCTACTGACGTACGTGAAAAACTTTTCTCTGTTGATCTTTATCTATTATTAACATGGTAACAATTTTTATGTATTATTTTAGGCTTTAGATATGTGCCAACTTGGAGATGAAGTCCGGAAGAAGGAAGGAAAGCTTGATTCCATTGGTTGGTCTTCTCAAATCTTTAAACTAGTAGACCAGACTAAAATGTTTATAACTTAGAAAGGAGGCTTACTAAAATTTATATTAGGTTAAGGACCATTTTCCTCCTGAACTTTTTTTTCAGGAGTGTTGGAACCTATATTGAAAGGTGAGACAATATCCTCTCTAAACAATTTTTTCAGGAGTAAAATTGCCCTTCCGTCAGAGATCTATCATCTTTTCCGTTATCTGCTAATGTAGAATAGTTGTAGAGCCCATGCATAGTAACAATAAGGTATTTTAGCCCATTTGGACCTTCTGATGTGATCTAAAGGGGCTGGAAGTGGCAGTTGCAGTGGCATGAACCGAGCCTAATTTTAGCAGCAAAACAGTAGGAAAATGGGTCAGAATACCTTGCTGTCTGTGTGTATAGGCTCTACAACTATTCCATGTCAGCAGATAACAGAGAAGATGAAGGGTCTTTGACAAAAGGGTGATTTTGCTTCTGAAAAAAATTGCTTAGGAAAGATATTGTCCCACCCTTTAATTCCAGTGCTCCTCCAAAAAAAGTTTAGGGGAAAAATTGTCTTGAACCCAATTTATATTTGACATGATTACATGTTCTCTTCATGGATGTTGCAGTTACTGAGAATGGAGAAAATTGGAGCATGGGTCAGAGACAACTCGTCTGCCTCGGCCGTATTCTACTTAAAAGGAGCAAGATTTTGGTGCTTGATGAAGCAACTGCATCAGTCGATACTGCTACAGATAACATTATTCAGCAAACCTTGAAGCACCATTTCTCAGAATGTACAGTTATAACCATTGCACACAGAATAACTTCTATTCTTGATAGTGGCATGGTTTTGGTTTTGAACCAAGGCAAGAAATGGCTTTCTTGATTATGTTCTTTCGTCTTCCTTTTAATTCTTGTCTCTTTATTATTTCTCATAAATGTCAGCATGATTTATCTTTGATGTTGATTCAGGGCTTATTGAGGAATATGATTCACCAAAAAGATTGCTGAAGAACAAATATTCATCTCTTGCTCAGCTAGTTGCAGAGTACACTCGCAGGTCGGACTCAGGCTTTGAAACTTAGATGAGAAAAATGCGTAGATCCGGTGTATCACTTCATCTGTACACTAACTAATCGTGACACCTCACAGAGCTGATAAAAAATATTAAAATACTTTTACATTAGACTGTAGTTACTTTTCCAAAAAAGAATAATATAAATTAAATAAATTATAAATTAAATGAATACCAAGTAAGTGGAAGCTCGGATTAAAATTTTGTGAGGTCGTATGTTCTGATTGGTCAGTGCGCAGATGAGATGGCGCATTGGGTTTGTCTAAAAATTTTCCCTTAGCTGATAAATAATGAAGAAACTATTTTTGGATCAAATCTTTTCTTGATGGTGATCAAGATGAAGTATTGATAGCTATACCAAAGGAAAAAGAAAAAAGAAAAAAAAAAAAAGATGAAGTCATATTTCTACCTTGTTGGTCTTGATAGAAAGCTACTGGTTAACTTGTTACATGAAATGCCATAAAAACTTGAGTTCTTTTGTTTATGAAATTGCGCAAAACTCTTATGTTTTAAGGAAGGTTTCCATATACTCTAACAATTGAAAATTCTTTAGCAATATTAATAAAATTTAAGGAAATAGTTTTATATTTAACCTGAACAAGATTTTTTTAATTTTTGAAAATAGAAGAGAAATTTATTTAATATTGAAAACATAAAAATATATAAATTTTAAAAATTAAATCGTTATGATTTATTCTGGAAATGAGTTATCACCGTATATCCGGTGTGATGATATGTAGTTTGCCAAAAAAGCCTGCAACTTGATGTAACTTTTGTGTGATAAGTAATTTCTGTCGAATTAAGGTAATTTTTATTAAAAAAAATCTATTATTTATATAATAGTAAAGATTAATAATCAAATGATAATATTAATTAAAGAGTTAAATACGAGATAATTTTTCGGTGAATATGAGTGATATACTTTTCAAGTTATAGCGACCAAAGGGAAAAACATCTGGACAAGAGATTAACGTTACAATTTGTTGACGTGGATCAGTTTCAAAATTCATCGTAAATTATAATCATATACTATAATTGCAAAACAAATAATCATCTTTGCCATTTGAATATCCTTAATTTGCCATTGCTTTATAACTTAATCACAAATACTTAATCTTTTTTGGACAATACAGATCATTATTCTTTTTTATGGTGTGTTTGGTTTAATAGGGATTTGGATTTGAATTTGAATTTAGATTAAATATCTGGTTTGGACAAACAAAATTTTATGAATATTCTATCTCTTATTACATTTCCTTAATAATTTCAATTTTTTATTATATTCTAATCATTTAAAATTTCAATCACTTCAAACTATTTGTTCTTTTTGTGTTTTTATTATTGATACATTTATGATTTTCATTTTTTTTTATCTCTTGTCAATTAAAAAATAAAGTAAACTCATCACTTTTGATTTTTTGTTTTTGTTTTTAATTTTAACTCACATCTCTTCTTCATATAAAAACTTTTAAACTACTTAAACAAAAGAATTTTGAATATATGAATTCTAAATGTGAAATTTATAATTCAGAATTTTAAATTCAAAATTTAAATTCAAATTCAAATACAAATCCACTCAAACACTGACTTAACTTTAAATAGGTTAGTGCAAGAACTCAGTAAATAAACCATAATCCTCTCATTATATCTCACGTTTTGCTTAAGCAGTCTTTGAATAGAAATAAAGAATAGCTCTGGTATGAAAGTCAATGCAATTGAGACAAGAATATACATTTCTGGTAATGTTCAAAATCCAAGACAGTAAGAATTGAGTTCTCTATTGGGCTTTACCAGAACGGCAAATCTGGATAAATATCTTGGGGTTCAGTTGCACACGAAACTGGTAGGGAAGGATACTTTCTCTGATGTGGTTGATAAGGTTAAAAAGAGGTTCATGAATTGGAAAGTTAACTCCCTTTCTCTAGCCGGCCGAACAACGCTTGTGCAATCTGTATCGTCTGCCATTCTTGGCTACATGATGCAAACTTTTCTTCTGATCAGTACCTGTGATTTGCTTGACAAATAGATCTGGAGTTCGTTTAGTGCACAACGGAGGCAAAGAATAAAATTCACCTGGTTGCTTGGAATGAAGTGTGCAAAAATAAACAATATGGGGATCTAGGCATTAAGCAGTCTCGAACACAAAACCAAGCTTTTCTCATGAAGCTAGGCGGGAAACTTATGACGGAGAGAGATGCCTTATGGGTTAGAGTGGTCAGAGCTAAACATAAATGTGGTAATGATTTAATGCCAAAAATTAAAAAGGATAGGCCCGACTCTAATACTTGGGAGGGAATTAAAGCCACTTAGGACAAGGTGAAGGACGGCATTGAAGTAATCAATAATGGAGAAGCTGTGAGGTGGAAGTGGGAGAAACATGGAGATTTTTCTGTGAAATTTGCTTATAACTCCCTCAGAACCACTGACTCCAATGCAAGCTGACTATGGGGTATGATTTGGAAACTTCAAGTTCCACAAAGATTCCGCTCATTCATGTGGTAAGTACATCAAAATAAGCTGCTCACTAACAGGGACAGACAGAAAAGAGGTACGGGCTATGATGGGATATGTCACAAATGTCGGGATGCTCAAGAAGATATTATACACGTTCTTAGAGATTGACAACTCACTGTTGCTTATTGGGCCAAGACTCTGAAACTAGATGAAAGGGCTATCTTCTTCAATTTAAACCATAGACAATGGTTGAATTGGAACCTGGGCTGAAATATGAGAAGGAAGAAATTAGATTAGCGAGCTAAGCTCACTGTAAGTTGCTGGGCTCTCTGGAAGAGCAGAAATGAAAGCATCTTTGAGGGGAAAAATGGGAACGTTGATTGTGTTATTGCCCAAGTGCACTCAATCCTTCATAGCTGGTCCGTTTATGTAGAGTGAGTTGAGAATGTGAACATATTAGGAAAGGTTTGTGCCAAAAGCAGCTCAGTATGGCGAGTCCAACCACTTGATTGGGCCATGCTTCGAGTGCGAAAAATGGGCCGAGCCTGTCGAGCCAGCCTTGCAAGCTGAGGGCTAGCCCATTTAAGCCCGCATATGCATTTTTTTAATTAATTCTTATGATTTTTACTCTTTTTAGATTTGAAAAAAAAATTAAACTAAATCTTACTTCACATCACATATCAGTCCATATCTACTGAGAATGGAAGGCAAAAAAAAAAGGAAAAATAGCAATGAAGAATTACTAATAAAAAATTATATCGGTCAAGGATCACTTGTTGTCAAAATCCGAGTGGATACTTGTGGATTCGGGTTAGCCTTTATCAATAAGTATTCATTTAGGTTTTAATAACAACTCATTTTAAATTAACAATAATTCATTGTAGCTTGTTTTTCATTCAAGTTTTAACAACAACTGATTCTTAATTGATATAAATTTCATACAAAAAATCCTTGGCTACTATTTTCTAAAAAAAATATAACCTTAAATCTCCTAATTCATCTAGATCCATGATAATGATTCATTCAGTTCAACATTTACTCTTCTTTCTTCAATATGTTTCTCTCCTTTTTGTCGCTACAAGTTGTTATTACTCTCTAGCAAGTCATCACATTGCCATCTCCATCCCTGTCATCGTAACTCACAAGTCATCCTTGATCTTGTTTTTACTCACTCTTTAGTCGTCCTTGTTGCTCACTCCGATAATGCTCCCTTCCAAGAACCAAATCTCAACAATGCTTGACTAATTGACACTCGTTGTCATCGATCTTCCAAATCCTCCTATCACTTATCATGCTCGTGCATTCGTGACTCATGAGCTAGGTTCTATCTGATGCATATATTGTGCTTGTGCTCTTTATTTTCCTCGATCTCCTAGTCCCATATCTCAGTCCTTCAAGGCTCAATCTCGTCTAATTTCGATTGGGTGTTTGTTGGCTTAGCCGATCCATTGCTTATTGCATTGCTATTATTTTATTTGTGTTTTTAATTCACTTAAATGTTATTTAGTTAGTTTTTTTGTACCTTTCTTGATTGGGTATTAGATTGGAATGAAGTAACTTTTTGTTTGGTTAAAAAATTTTAAAAAAAATAGTTAAAATGGCCTAACGCCCGTAGGGCCAGCCCTGAGCCCGCTATGTCGAGGCCCGGGCTTCATATATCAAGGTCTTAAAGGAAATTCGGGCTTAAAAGGGCTGGCCCTTTTAGGCCCGAATCCTTCAAGGGCCGGCCCTATAAGGCTAGGCTGGCCCTTTTTCCCAGCTCTAGTCATGCTAAACGCTGATAGGGCCTTCTTGCCAAGACTTAATAGAGGTGGCTGTGGAGGTGTAATACGAGATAGTAGTAAATGACTGATAAAAGGGTTTATGTATGGCTATGTGGAAGGAGGCAGTGTAACACCCTTATTGACATTACCATACACTTTACTACTATATCATTAATCAATTCAAAATCATTTACTTTGAAAACTTTGGAATCCCAAGAAAAGATTTTCAAAATCATTTCACAAACTACTCCAATTATAAAGCATTACACACAGCGGAAGCCATAGATATAAGTGCATCAAAGACCAAGAAAACATACACATTACAATTAAATTAAGTTAAATTTGGAGGCAGTGTGCTGCAGCTCATGCCACATGCGCCGCAGCATGTGGCACAGAGACCACAGCTACCTACTCTGTGCCGTGTACTACAGCATGCGGTTACATGCGCCGCGGCGTACACACCTAAATTTACTATCAAAATGTAAAATTCTGGTGCGAATTTCAGATGCACGCAATTTTCGCATTCGATATCTAATTGGGTGGCTCAAGCACCCACACGAAACTTGTTTCGAAATCTAACTAATGACACTTTCGTTTAAATTTGATATCCTATTTAAAAGTTAGACACCTAAGTATATTTTGACTATTTTAAGTCAAAATTTACCATTCAAGCATCTCAATTTGAAACCATATATTATTAGTCACTTTTTGGGCCTTCACCACATCCAAATAGACAATACACATCTGATTGACCATTCATATATACATTACAATACATTTACATACAATTAGCCTGTAAATCGCCCATATCATACTTTTGGGCAAACACATTTCTTCTTTTCAATCTCATACAAGGCCATATATGCATATACACATCGAGTACACCTTATATCCACACATATCTACTAACCTACTCAATCATTTTTCACCATTCACACATATACAAAGGGCTATAGGGAGTTCAAAATCAACAAAATACAATATTCACCACATCATGTACATGTTTTGAATCCTAAGGCAACTTATACACATTCTTATCTAATGACATACAAGTTCATTACATCAAAATCTTACAAAGGTTTTAATGAGATATATCTCCTCTGCCAATATCTTTCCCCTTTGAACTACTAGTGCCAGAACTTGAAAAATATAAATAACCATAAGTGAGATAAAAATCTTAATAGCCAATATAGT